GATGTTTTCACATCATCATGTTAAACACTAGTGTTTTCATTCTAACAAAATCAGTAATATTTACTTAATTTAATCTAAATCAGTCAAACATGCAAATGCTATTTAATGTACAAAAAGGTAATAATTATATAAATAGTGTGTGAAACAGGCTTAAAACAAATATTAAACCAATAACATTCATTCAGATCAATCAGCTTGACACGAAATCAAGGTCTTAGTAGAACATACAATTTTGTGGGAATAAATATATATATATATTTTTTTTATTGCTTAGATGAGTGGACGAGCTCACAGGCCACCTGAAGTGGTTACTGGAGCCCATAGACATCCACAACGTAAATGCGCCACCCACCTTGAGATATAAGTTCTAAGGTCTCGAGTATAGTTACAACGGCTGCCCCACCCTTCAAACCGAAACGCATTAATGCTTCACGGCAGAAATGGGCATGGTGGTGGTACCCACCCGCGCGGACTCACAAGAGGTCCTACCACCAGTACACAAGTTGTTTTCTAGTACATGAATATATGCAAGACTAATTCATTAAGCCATAAGCATCGTAATTAAGATGATACAATGCATAAAGCATACAATTGGTTTAAATTTTATTATATTACTAGCTGACCCAGCAGACTTCGTAGTGTCTCAATCGATAAATAAAAGACACATCAAGGGGACACATAAAAGGGAAAACAAAATTGTTTGTTTTAATATAATTCCGAGCTTTTTAATATTTTGTCACCTTTTAAACCTTCCCTGGACTTACACGAATAATTCAAGACCAAAATTAGCTAAATCGGTCCAGCCGTTCTCGAGTTTTAGCGAGACTAACGAACAGCAATTCATTTTTATATATAGAGAAGAAGAAGATGGGCTTAAGATCGGGCAATGGAATGTTTAAAATGAATGGCTTACAACCAAATTTTATCGAGAATGTCATTGGGTTAATATTTAAAAAAAACACATGCAGCTATACATATTATACTAATTAATAAGTACTACAAATAAAGAAAATTGGCTGGAAACAGAACAACTACAAAAGTTTTTTTTTTAATTTGTTAATTCTAAGTTATTTTTCCCCGACGTACTAATTAGTTGCGTAATTATTAGCTGTTTGTTAGATAGTTCATTTTCAAACCAAAACACAAACATTACCCAACGACTCTGGAGGCCCAAGTTGGTTTACCGATAATAAAGAAATATAAAGACAAAATTAAAAAGCGGAAATAAGCATACATAATGTCAACTACTAACTGAGAATTAACTTTCTTCTATGGCAGAAATACATACAGTTAAAGAATTAGAACAAGTAATTTTTCATTACTGGCAGATAATATAATTATATATTTAAATGTATACATAACACTAGTAATAAAGAATCAAATAAAGATACCCTTAACTAACAGAAAAAAGCAAAAATAAACTTTAACTGATGAAGATAAAGTTGATAGTTATATTCGAGTTGATTTTAAAACAATCAATTTGAAAATATGGGTTTTTAATAAAATATGTTTAATTTGCACCAAAATAAAGAATATTGTGATATCATTAATGTTAGCCATTCTGAAGTTTCTTAAAACAACATTTGAGCAATAATAAAAATTCTTTACACAGATGTTTCATTATTTGTGTTATTATGGTGTTTAATGAGTCATTTGTCTAGTCTCTATAAATTGTACTTTTTATTTTATTTTTATCTCTATTTTTTAGAATAATATGTTGAATTTATTATAGTTAGTTCCATATATATATAAAAATTTATAGCACTATAATAATGGAAATATTTTGCTTTCATGATTAACTAATATTTTAACTTACCCCTTCGTAAGTCTTTGCTTCTATGCCGATTTTAATATCTAAGCTTACTTGATGTGGAATACCTCTTCTTTCTGAAAAAATATATGACAAATAAAATAATCAGGCTTACTATTGACACCACCTACCATCAGAGAAGAGTTCATTTAAGTACCTGAAAACACTGCAATGCATAATGACGAAAGGTGAAGTAATTCATCATAAATATGGAGAATCAAATATTTTTAACAAAACTACTTGAATAGACGATTTTGAATCAAGAAAAACCCAGTACATAATAAGATGAACGCCACAACAAAAAAAATCATAAAAGCTTCAAAGCTACAATCTGAGATTGTGATGGAGAAGAATAGGCTAGAGCAGATTTTTGATGATCAATAGGTATCAACAAGCCAACAATATCATGACAAGCTCTTACATTACATAAATAAATAGATAAAAGGTTTTTGATAAATTAAAGATATTTCGTTTTAAAGCCATAGCCTTCTCAGAAAGAGGCTGCTCAGAAATAGACAATAAAAACAATATAACATGACAGGCTAGCTTTATGTTGCTTCTGATAAAATTATATCGAAACATACAACAAAAAGCATTGTAAATCATATTTACCTAAAACTGAATTACAATGTTATTCTTTGCACTTGTCGAATTTTCAGTTTCATATCATCATATTATCATAGCATAGCAAACCAATACATTAATAGTTTCACCTTTAAAGGGCAGAACAGCAAACATTTTATAATTTGAATGTAGGGTATAAGTATAGTCCCCAGCTAAATAAAAAAAAACCTTTACTATATCAGCTAAGTGAATTATATAAGGGCTCAGTGGTGTGGATTGGGAGAGGCCTATGTACAGCAGTGGACGACTGGGGGCCGTTGTTGATTATGATGATGAATTATATCTGGAACAGCCGGCTAGCATTTTGCTACCCACAATAAGACATCAGGTGTTGCGAGAATGAGATCTAAATGGCCAATAGATTTTCTATTATAATTTTTTTTGTAACAATTACAGCTATTTGATCTCATCAACTTCACTGCTGATAGAGAAATCAATAGCTGACCTGCGAATGCATTTATAAGGGAAATAATATCAGCAACAAGGCTAGATTTGGATACTAATAACATATTTCGATTATGACTTCTGTTAGTGAAATCAGAAGGCTTGATTGCTTTGAGGGACAAGAGATAGGAGAGGCCTACACAGATTTACACAACATTGTTGCACCTATAAATTTTGGGGTTGGTTCTTGTTTATTTGTGTACATAATTTCGATCAACACAAATATTATTAAAAGAAAGCCCTTCAAGCCTTGGTGAAAAAGGTATTTAAATTAATGGTGAATTATGCTGTATGTTTTTTTACTAGTGGTAGGATGTATTATCAGTCCACATAAGGGCCCACCATCGTGGTTATTACTGCAGTGAAATAGTCATATGCTTTGGTGATAGATGACAGCATTGGCATTGCTGGGACTTTGAAGTTACCAGCCGATCATAACTAACTGGTCCTATAGTACTAACTAGAGTAATCTTTTCGTGCTCAACATTATAATCTGTCTATTAAAAATATCTACGGGGTAGATCATCAGAAAGTATTGGAGCAATTTGCCAAGCAATTTGCCAGCAGGCTGCCTTTGCACATTAGTGTTTTATTCAGACTCGTAATACTTAAAATATCAGAAGGTATATTAAGTAGCAGTAAACTGTGACCTACTTTTCTATGCTGATCTCTATGTACTTTCTAAACTAATCTAAAGAACCTTTATTAAATTAAAAATATTAAAGAATTATTCAGTTAGTTCCAAAATAAAATTACCTGATGGTACTTTAGATATAAAGCAAACTTCAAACATATCATAATTCTCTGTGACGAATGAGAACTTTCCCTTTGTTACTGTATCTTTCTGTGATAAGATGTGCCCCTTCGAGTCTTTAATCTGTAATAATTGAAATCATTATTGTTTCTGTCTTTTGTTTGAGTTACACTATACGTTTACAAAAAAAATTGTCTATAGCCTTAAATACCTTAGAACTTATATCTCAAGGTGGGTGGCGCATTTACGTTGTGGATGTCGATGGGCTCCAGTAACCACTTAACACCAGGTGGGCTGTGAGCTAGTCCATCCATCTAAGCAATAAAAAAATTTAAAAAAATTCAAAAAAGAAGTACATTTTGTCATTTTCAAATATTTCTGTTATTTTTTTTTGATTGTATCTTAAACGATAAATGTCTAGTGGTGTACCTATGCCATGGCGTTTGAATATTACAAACATTTTTGGTTATATCAGAAATTATACTCACAATATAGTCAACTCTTTGCCCCTGTATTTCTGTCACATCATATTCTCCTGCAACTAACACGTTGGCGTGTAATTCTTCTTTCAAACACTTGTGTGTGTTCGGCGCCAAGCTCCACATAATCGCATCAGTTCCATGCCAGATTAAGCTCAGTAACAACACGAGATATTGTACCTCCATGTTTATTGTGGTTATATATTATCTATCTTGCAATAAATAAAGCCGAATTCATAACATTTATGACCGGAAAACAAACATATTCTCTAATTTTACGTCAAATAGACCGATGAGTTGGCTAACGTCGTCGACCTTTTGGTTATTTTTTTTTTTTGAAAAATGTAATTTTGTTGCCAGATTTCACTTCGGGACTTCTAGTAAATTCTGCGTGGAATGGATTCTTACATTCCTTTGTACTTGATTTAGCAGTTTATACCCATACTGCTAGGTATGTACTTACATTATAAATGCTTTAATATTATTAGAACAATAGGTTTAATAAGTACTCACAGTTTAATTTCTATTTTTTTGATCGTATCAGAAAAACAGTGATTAGTATCAGTCGATATTAATTTTTTGTCTTGTGATACATACATACATATTTGATTTAAATTAATTTGAATCCAATGTTTTGCGAAACACTTTCAAGTGGGAAATAGAATCTAAATTTATTCAGCCAAGCTATTTCTCGAAATCCATTTTTTAAAAGCTTGTTCCATTTCCATTTATTGGTGCACGTTATTTTCCAACTTTCTATCATAGCTGAATACAAATGGCAAACAAGAACATAAATACATTTTCTCGTCATGGATGAAAGAGACAGCGTTAGCTGATATTCTAAATTTAATTCAGTTCACAATAAAGCGATTCACTGCGTTTCGTCGAATTCGAAAGTGCATTTTGCATTTTCAAGGAAATTAAAGAAATAACCTTAAATTAGTTTTTTTGAAACCATTATTGCTTAGAATCGCAACTTAATAGAACTTATTACAATATCTACTACTTATTTAATTTTCAAGGGACTTTGAATAGCTGTGTTGTGAAATAAAAGTGCGAAGATTATAAATTGCATCTGACTGATTGACAGATGCATAATTTATTTCTGTAATTCGAAAATTGTTTTGTGCAGATCTTGATTAAATGATTTGCCGAAAGTACGGTACGTCGATGCCTTAGTGACCGTAAATCACATTAAAATATAGGTAATTTCGGTGAGTACTCATTTCTATCTGTGCAAAAGTAAGTTTACATAATCTTGCAAAGTTTTAAAAATTACATCTTAACTAATTGATCCTTAACGATTCATTTGGAACATAAAAGAACTTTTATGATATTAATAAATAAAAGTAAAATAATGGATCCAAGCTGTTAATTAAAATAAAATACTTCATAGATTTCCTTACAAGATTTTTGTTGTAAAGGATCTGTAAGATGACAACAACAAATCCATAATAATACAACTGCTCATTACTAATTGTATAAAAAACTTATTTTACAATAGTTATATTAAAATCGGAAACTATTATTTTGAAAATAAGATGATTCTTGCCATTATCCCACATCTTGCGATGTCAGTGCAGCATGTTCTTTTATCTTTCTATTTCAAGCTATACTTTTCCTAATGATGTTATTATATGATGTACATAATACTGAACGAACTTTGCAAAACGTAGTCCTTAATTCATTACGACGAGTTAAAAAAATTTTTTTATTATATCTTACTTATATTTTTCTATAGGTTTTCAACCAATCAATATTATGAATGTGAAAGTTTATAAGTTTCGATATTGGTTATGCGATCACTCAAAAATTACTCAAATAAATGTATATAATTTCACATATTTAAATAGTTTATAACAATTTTTTTATCATGATAACAACATAACCTGAACAATGCTGTTTATATTCAAGTGTAATTAATAAGATATGAAAATTCATAGTTTGTGATTTTACCAAAACCTTACCAGCGGATTGGATAGAGCAAGTGATTCCAAAAAATCTTTACCTCGGAAAAATATGTGTTTAACATTTCTAAAATATTAGTATAACAATGGTGAAACCATAGGTCATGTCTAGTGATATATAACTGAAAAATACTAAAATTGTAAAATTTCATTTTCAGACCGTGACTATGTCTCTTCGCAGTTTCTACAGAGGACCCTGTAACTCACAGGAGATATGTGAAGGACAACCAAACATAATTATTCATTGAGGTATTCATTGTTCACTATTTATGAATATCAACGATTTACATTGGCTATATCCCCTAAACGCCCAAAATTTTCATAATTTAACTGTTAAAGTAATGTTTTAAGTGATTACTGGCTGGTGAGTTATGGTGATTACTGGCTGGTGAGCTGGTGGTGAGGAAGATAATAACATCCTCTTTATTTAAATAAACATTTAAGCATGTACATCTAATTTTTGGTAGGTACTTACACGCAATTCATTCTATTCTCTTTATTGGCCATGTGTAAAACTTATTTTTAATAAAAGCCATTATAAAAATGGATTTGGATTGGATCATTGAAATGATATAAAAAAATCTTTATTTGACATGGCAAACAAAATGTAAATATTGATTTGGAAGTAGGGATAGGAGTGTTTCAATAAACAGACTTATTGTTCATAACAATATCTCTCTTTGTGCCTTGGGTAGAGAGAGCTTTTATAGTACAAATGCGTAATGGTTTTAAAAAGAATAAATACACATATTTAACTAGTCCACCACTAATCGAATATAATTAGTACATAAAAACACATTCAATTTAAAATAAGTGCAGATTGCAGAGCAGAAAAAAAATTGTTTAAATGGGCAAATCTCCTAGGAAATAACCCACTAACATGAAATATCATAAAAGTTCCTAAGTTTCCTGATTTTAAATACTCTTAAATGTACAGATTTTCATTGTTTAGTAATTAAAAAATTTTTAAATTCAAAATAGGAGTTGTTACATATTTGTCTGTTAAGAACCAGTGGTTTTGTTCACAATGAATTATAGTAAGGAAGACAACATGAAACTCGCTGTGCATACAAAATAAATAATTAAAATGATATACATAATTTTCTTACTGTGACAGTCCCATTAATGTATATAACTAATAGAAGATATGTTTCAAGTAGTTAGAAAACTATGTAAAATATGCGTCGATTATAGATAGAGCTTTGACGTTATAAAAAATTCCCTGTATTACCAGTGTCAACGGGCGACAATAACCATTTACCAGCAAGTGTGTCGTACGCTCGTCGGTTACAGTTGGCATTAATAGAAGAGTTTTATCATGTCAATGGTCATCACTAGATGGCGTTGTCACCAATTCTAATAGATTTATTTTAAAAAATTCTCTATAACTAATCTAATGAAAGACAGTTTAGAGATATAAAGTAAATTCCTAAATTATTATTACTGGTGGTAGGACCTCTTGTAAAGCCGCACGGGTAGGTACCACCATCCTGCCTAATTCTTCCGTGAAACAGTAATGCATTTCGGCTTGAAGAGTCTTTGTAACTATATTGAGACCTTAGAACTTATATCTCAAGGTAGGTGGCGGCATTTACGTTGTAGATGTCTATGGGCTCCGGTAACCACTTACCACCAGGTGGGCCTTGAAATCGTCCACCCAACTAAGCAATAAAAAAAGTATACATTTTAGATACCACAGTTTCACTCAAGCTACAAAATGGTAAATTTAACGTACGCTATCCCTTCGGTTAAATTTTCTACTAGCTTGATGTTTTAGTTGTTAAGTTTGTATCATTCTTACGGAGTCATTGATCTTAATTTTCAACCGTCCGATTAACTTCAGGGACCGATGACAATACAACAATTTTATAATATCCTGAACGGTATGAACAGGATAAAAAAAAAAGATGAAAATAAATGTTAGTTTGATTTGCGATTTAAGTTTTTTTTTTTTGTTTAAAAACTACGTACTTTATTACTGCGATACAGTTTTTCTTGTTACTTTAATATGCACTGTATGCTGTGTAAGCAGTGGCGTAGCTACCCAGGGGCTAGGCGGGGCAGTGCCCCGGGGCCCTCAAGCTCAGGGGCCCCTCGAATCCTTACCAGGAATCTCGATCGAACTGAACTTTTGGAAATTTCTCCCATTTTCAAAATAAATATGACAGATAGCAGTCCCATTTTAATCATGACAACTAAGTTGAGAGAAATTCAAAAGTTATGCCTAGGGAATTCCGAAACGTTTCTAACCCTGGCAAGAATAATGCGTCGCAGAATCTACCACCGGATTGTCAAGTTGATTGGACGTCTTGGTTCGGTGAAAATGACGCTCAGAGATTCCGTTATATACATTTAAGTAGAAGAAGAAGAAGAAGACGAAGAACATCTTTATTCGCCAGAAATATAGTTTACAAGATATTGTGGATATAGGACATAGTTTCACATATTTCTCCTGTTTAGGCATGCGAAAATTTAACTTATTTTTATATTAATTCTAACACAAAATTTACTAAATCTATCTATTTTTACATTCTATCACTTCTTATTCTAATATTTTATTATATACAACACTTATCATTTAAAAATTCTTGCACATTATAATAAGCCTTATCTATTAGCCATCAATATAATTTTCTTTTAAATTGAGTTAGTGGAAGATCTCTTATGCTGTTTGGTATCTTATTAAATATTCTTATAGTCATAGGATAACAGTTTGTATGGTAGTAGTGAGTATTTATATTTGGTAATATGAGTTTAGTAGGGTATCTTGTATTAAATTGACAGTACTCACCATACGATTTATATAATTGTGAGTGCTTTTTTACAAACAAACAACATTCTTGTATATATATGGATGGTGCAGTCAAAATATTATGTTTTTGGAAGAATGGTTTACAAGAAGACAGCGGATGAATATTGCACATACCACGAACACATTGCTTTTGTGCAATGAACACTCTATTTATGTGACTAGTACCATATATCAGGGTAATAAAAGCATGTTAAAAAGATAACTATTGCTGAAATCGTATGAAAATTAACCTATCCAGTCGAAAACTTTCTTTGGCAAACATCTGTGCATTCGTAAATTTTATCACTACTTGTGTCACTAAAACTTAAAACCACGGCTGCCTCCAAATCTGCCCATATCACCGTGTAATATTTTTCTTAATCGGGTAAAACTAATTTGAATCATTTGACGCCTAATTTCTTAATATGTAACTTCATAATTCTCTTGAAAATTAAGCAATCAGAAAGCTCTTCGTTACTGGTGGTAGGAAGTTTTGTGAGCCCGCACGGGTAGGTACCACCACCCTGACTATTTCTACCGTGAAGCAATAATGCGTTTCGATCTGAAGGGTGGGGCAGCGGTTGTACTGTAAAAACTGAGACCTAAGAACTCGTATCTCAAGGTAGGTGGCGGCATTTACGTTGTAGATGTCTAAGGGCTCCGGTTACTTAATACCAGATGGGCCGTGAGCTTGTCCCCACACAAGCAATAAAAAATAAAATAAAAAGGCTCTGTGGACCCAATAAAATAAAAAAATGTTCGATTTTTGTCTCAAAAGCATTCCAAATACTATCAATTTCCGAAAACATTTAAGTCATATTTACAGACAGAAGCTATTGATATGCCGTTATGTAGATAGGACTTACACCCTTTTCCATTTTAGATACAAATTTGTACAAGTAGTAATCGTAATTAGGTCAATAACCCACTGGACGTTGGACGTTCATTGATTGCCCTTAATCATCACTATTGGTCACACGGCAATGGATTAACCTAACTGTATTTTATGAACGTGCATGTCTCTTCATTAATACATGCTCTCGGTTGATTAACACGCTGTATGCTTTAAGACCCACCGGTGGGCCTAGCGTACTGTTACGCGCTGGGGTTCGGGATAAATAAAAGATAACACTGTATTAGCACTTAGAACACTTAAAGCACTCAACAAACACCTTAAAACTCTCAATTCGCTTCTTCCCTTCGCTTCAGGTGATCCGCTGTTTCGCTTCGAGTAGTTCCGATTACTGACTGACTCCGTGCCATCTCTGCAACGCTTTTGTAGCCGATACCACATCCCTAGAATTATCGAGAATATTCCACACATTTCGAGTATTGTGTTTCCGCTGACTGACAATAGAGGGCGCTGTACTTCTCGAGCGTTCTAGGTGCTACTAGATCCTTCGATATTCGTTCGACTATTCGGCGATAGATGGTGTTACTGGCGTAACAGTACTATGCAATTTAGGCTAAGCCAAAATCAGTAATTTTTACTAATTTGATATTTTCATTCTAAAATATTGTATATTACGATAATTTGCCTGGACGGTAAAAATTTGCGACTTTTACGGTCTAGTTTATATATAAAAGGGTGACTGACCATCATGGCCCGTATGATTTAGAAAGAAAAGGTTCACCGGTGAGCACCGTGGCCCGAATGAAAATATTCGATTTTTCATATGGCTTTCAAAGTGTTAATCCTTGCACAATCCACTAAAAGACTAGTGGTATCTGTTGAGGATTAATTTTTGTTCCATCATGCTTTTCTATATCATGTGCAGTGAGATTTTTATTGACCATTGCAAATTCAAACTTCGACATCTATCAATTAAATCTGTTATTTGGGTCTTTGGTCCGTGCTGCGTGCTTTAAAGCGACGAAGCAGTACAAATATTTTGTTGTGTCTAAATTTGATAAAAACCCTCAGAAGTACAACAAATCAACGAATTTGAATATTTAGATCAACTAATTAGGTAGGTACGTCAGACTTGGGATGTGAAAACATGATTGATGAATTTTGGTAAAAACCGGTGGTTACATTTATAATATGGTTTGTTACCTCCGATTTCCTCTTGATTCTGAATCGTATATTTTTATGTACAATACAATTTTGAAGTGGATTTTATAGAATTCATAAAAAAAATTGGCTAGTTTTTTTCACTGGACTAGACGAAAACTTTCCTGAAAATTTATTGTAACATTTTGTGAAGTCGTCGTGGACAAAATGATAAGACGTTTGTTGTCGACTATGCTAGAGTTCAAATCTTGCATGCAGGTACTAGTTTTTCTAATGATATTCGTATTTAACGAATCTTCACTAATGAATACCACGATAAAGAAATAATATTACAGTGAAATAAAATTTAAACCGCAAAAAATGTCATTAAAATTTGCTTCTGTTTCTTATAAACATTTGTATGTATAATATTATCATTCAAATAATTCATATAAAGTAATTACT